TAAAGGGCCATGATGGCTTTCTTAATCCAACCATCAAGACCGTAATGCGACAATACCGCATCCAAATAAATCCAGTTGACTCTGTCGAATGCTTTTTCAGCATCAATCGACAGAGCCAAAACTGGAACCCTATTTCTTTTAGCATCATCTAGGATGTTAACAATTTTCCTAATACTTGTATAAGAGTTTCTGCCAGGGACGTAACCTATTTGATCTTGATGTATGATCAATGGTAAAAGTTTTTTAACTCTAGCGGCCAACACTGAAGCGTATAGTTTGGTGTCAACATCTATCAAGGATATTGGACGATAATTTTTAACATCGGTAGGGTTTTTATTTTGTTTTAGAATTGGTAAAATATTAGCTTTTAACATCTCTGTTGGAAGAGATCCTCTTTTAGCTGCACTGTTAAAAGCATTAGTCATATAAGGGCAAGTTAGTTCTTTAAATATTTTGTAGAATAAATTACTAAATCCATCTGGACCTGGGGTTTTATACTCCTCCAAGTTATTTATAGCTTTCATTGTTTCATCTATAGTTATATCTTTATTTATTGCTTCACTTTGTGATTCTGTTAATTTAAAGTTGTTTATTTTTTCTAGATATTTTTTTATGTATTCATCTGTCGTAGTTTGAGGAATGTTATATAACTTACTATAAAAATCATTGAATTGTTGTCCTATTTGTTTTGGAATTACTGCAGTTGTTCCATTGTTTATAAGTTTTTCTACTTTATTTATACCCTTTTGTTTTCTTAATTTTTGTGATAGTAATTTATCAGCTCTGTTACCCTTAGAATAATATTTTAATTTTAGTCTATCTAAACTTTTAACCGTTCTTTCCATTAATTTTTGGTTAATTTTGTCCTTTATTGCTGATATTTCTTCCGAATTTTCAACTGTTGGATTATGTTTGTTGTTTTGAGTCAGCTTCCCTAACTGACCATAAAGGTAAGATAGACTAATACTTTTATCAGTTTGGCTTTGGAGTTTAATAAAATGACCTCTTATTACTGCTTTAAAGGCACACCACAAAAGGGATGGATCGATATCCTCTGTATTATTTTCTTTAAAATAATTATTTATGTTTATTTCCATAGATTTTTTATTTGCTTCAAAACGGAGCAGACTATCATTTAGACGCCAACTATATGACTCTTTTAAATTTTTTCCTACTTCTATTACACATACTACACCGTTATGATCTGTCCAAACTGTTTCGTTTATATTTACTTTTTGAACTTTATCGATAAGATTAGGATCGATCCAGATCATGTCTAACCTTGAATAAGAAAAGTGGACTTTAGAGAAGTGTGTATAATCTCTCAGATTTGGATTATGGATTCTCCAGATATCGAACAAATTAAATTCATCTTTTATGTTTTTTAAGGATTTAGCTTGTTTAACTACCATCTTATTTATTTTGACTCCTTTCATAGTTTTTTTTATCTAATTGTGGATCAATGACTGCATTAAAATCTCCAGCCAATATTAAGTTTCCTACTTTTACTTCTTCTATTTTTTCTAGGATAGATCTTAAGTAAGAAGCTGGTGAATAATTTGGGAGATAAACATTACAAAGTGTGAATATCTTAGAATTGATTTTACATATTATTATCAAAAATCTGCCTTCCACATCTTGTATTTGTTGAATTATTTCTACCTCTATTTTTTCACCAAATATTATGGCTACACCGCATTTTTTTTTAATCTCTATTTGAGGCCTGTATAATAAGCGGGAATTTTTTTCCACCCCACGTTTGTTTATCTAATTGCCTCCAATGGGTTTCTTGCAAAAATCCCAAATCGATATGTTCGGTGACTAAATATTTATATATTAAAGACCTTTTTGTTATTGTGTTCATACCTTGGACATTAAGAGTTAACATTCTTATCATTAGAGTTTCTCAAATCTCTTTCCTTTTGTCTCGACATAGTGATCTTCCCTTTTTTCCTCTATTGCTGCACAAACATACACAAAACAAAAAAACATATATCTAAAACTATAGGAGGATAACATCCTTCTTAAGCACATAGACTATTGACTCACCAACAGGAGAGTCTGTCTAGTCCTGTGTCTATTTATTAGACACTAAGTAGGTCTGTCCGGATTAGGGCGATATTACATAATAAAACCCTTTAGTCTATTTTACAACAAAAGGGAGAAAAAAAAACAAAAAAAAACCTCTTTCTCTTTACCTCCTTTTTTTCCTCCCTCATCACTTCCAGTTGTTCTATCCTATGTACAGTAAAGTATATCTGTCGCGCATTTTAAATGGGTCTTCAGAGAAAAAAAAAAAAAAAAACCTAATCAATCAATTAAATATAATTAATCTAAGATAGGTGTCAATTAAGTGAAAAATATTTATAATAACCTATTTATCATTGTGTTCCATTACATTATTTTCGTGTGTCCTTTCTTTTTCCCTGTGTCTCCTTCCTACATCCTTTTTTCTGTTCCCTTTGTGTGCAATAGTGAACGAATCAATCCATACAATTTTTCTAATTCAATCTTGTGCACATACAAGCATATTTAGTTTCTATCAAAATTGTCCTTATTGAACCAACTCATTATTTCTTATTAATATTGTTTATAAACTACATGTGTCATATACTAAAGATAACTTCCTTTATTTCTGAAAATAAACTCCTTAGTGAATATTTTTTTTTCCCTTACTAATATAAGTGCAAATACTTTTAGCGAATTTTTATCCTCTTTTACTTCATCAAATCTACAAATCATAAAAAAAAAAAAAAAACACACACCACTTCTTCTTTTACTTCTAATTCGTGAAATATACCTAAACAATCTTCAAATCTTGAGAGTCCCATCTCAATATCTATCTATTCTATCTATCACACATCTTAATCAGATTTTTCTAATTGAACATAAAATAAAAAAAACCTTAATAGACAGCTTAAATGAAATCATTCCAAAATGAATAAAAGTTAAGTGAAAAATATTACAAGCATCTATTTTATAAGATAGTCTGTCCCATTGTTCCCATACATCCATATATTAACAGCCTAATGAGTAATTCCTTTTTCCCTTCTTTTTTCCTTCTTTTTCCTTCCACCCCTCCTAACTAGAATGTGAACAAATATTTATAATAACTGTTATGTCTCCTTTTACTTCATCAACTTCACATTATTTTCATATATTTTTATGCGTTACGGATATCCTAGACTGCAACAATATGTACATAGAAATATAAGAGGTACTTATCTGATATCATCTTATAATGAATAAAAACTTTTTAAAGTACTTTTTCTGCTTAATTTGTATAAAAATATTTGCATTTGCATAACCTTTTAATGTCCTAAGCCAAATTACTGATTTTATCACAAAAGAGAGAGAGAGAGAGAGAAAAAAATTTCCTTTCCTTTTCTCTTCCTCCCTTCTCTCTCTCTTCTTTCTAACCTTCTATCCCACAACACATTGTCTTCATGCATTTTTATGCATTGCAAATAACCTAAGCTCCAACCATGTGCATATTAGAACTACTTTTCTGATATATCGTTATGATAATAGATTCTCTTCCTTCTTATAGTTGTTGTTTAAAAATTACATATATCATAGGATTTAAATAGGTTCTTCTGAGAAAAAAAAAATATATATATATCTTTTCTCTCTCTTTTCTTCCTCCCCTTTTTATTCCACTTCCACAGTCTAGTTGTTTTCATATTTGAATTCTTGCTAACCAACTCTTTGCTTCATCCGAATCAGTGAAGGAAAGTCTTTCTTGTCTCCAAGTGAATTTCAAGGAAGCCGGAGTATTCCACTGAAATCTAATGTCCTTTTTCCTCAAAAAATCCGTAAGAGTTGAGAAAGACTTCCTCCATGTTCTAGTAAAATAAGATAGATCTTGCAAAAAATATATATCTTTATAGGCAGAATTTTCTAAAGGGTTAATACGTCTGGCTTTAATCAAGTTGTTTTTAGCTGAAAGTGAACAGAAGCTCACTATAACGTCTCTTGGGAGATGTGCTGCAATTATATTAGGTTTTCGTATCCGATGGAATTTTTCTATTTGATAATCAATTATTTCAGGAGAGACTTCTTTAAATAGGCTGCATAAATAGTCTTTTAATTTCTCCGTTGTTATATCTTCAGATATTCCTCTAAGTCTTAAATTAAATTGTCTTGATCTGTCTTCTAGAGCTGCTATTTTATGTTCCAAAATTAGAGTTTTATTTGTTAATGATTGCACTGTTTCATTAACTGTGTCTAATTGATTATCAAACAAGACAAGTTTTTTTTCCATGGCTTGCACTGATATAGCAATTCTGTTAGTATCTTGTTTTATATCTTCAAGACTCTTAAGCATATCTTGTTTTAGCATGTTAAATTGTGCCTCTAGTAGTGATTTAAGCTGATCCTGTAAATTTTCTTTCGTTGTTTCAGGAGCTAGTGATGGTTCTTGCGTCATTAAAAGATCCATATTGGTGTTAAGAATATTTACTGGATTTGTTTCATTCTCACTTTTACGTTCTTGTATATCTTTAGACGGGGTTGAAAAGAAACCGGACATCCTTTTTTCTGCTGGATGTGCTGACTTATTTTCCTTCTTTTTCTCCATAGCAGTTTTTCTAGTTGCCATTTTGTTGTTCTTACAGAGGTTGTCAAACTTTATTTTGCTCCCCATTTTATTTTATTTTTTATTTTTTTTGTCCTTTTTTTTTCGCTTTCCTTCCTTTTTCTTCCTATTTCTTTCTACTTTTCTCTCTTTTCTCCTCTTTCTTCTTTCTCTTCTTTTTTTTCCCTTTTTTTTTTTTTTTTTTTTTTTGACAGCTTCTTAATGATTTTCAACTTATAGCCACACACAAAAAAATATATATATATACTGGCAATTTCACTATTTATAACTCTCGGCACGTTTTTGCTTTTTTGCTTATAGCAGTCTGTAAATTCAATTCATTTATTATAGCGGTTATTTTAGCTTAATTGCTGTTACTATAGCATATTTTAATGTTTGCCTTTATTTTTTATTGGCTTAATTAGGCTTAATTAGGCTTATGTATCAGCCACGACTTATCGTTTACTTTGATTGCAGCTCTCAATTATCAAACAGATTATATATGTACTTAAATATATCTAAGATATAAGCAGTTTATCAAGAAGTTAGGCTGAAATTTACTTTGAGGTACTCACAAGATTTTCAGCTTCCATCTCATTATTATGAAGAGTCCTCCTTTACTTTTTGTCTATCTTTATCTTTAACTGCCTTTCCGACATACCAGCAGCTTATAGGGATACTTCGAAAACCAAATATTTTCCGTTTCTATTTCCTTTTTTTCCCCTCTCCGTTTTTCTCTCTTCTTTCGTTAGTTTTTTCCGCACTATGATTTATTAAACGGAATGCAGCTTAAATGCAGCTCAACCGCAGCTTGAATGCGGATCAATATTCTCCTTCTCAGCTTCTGTCTTCTCAGCGTTTTCTCCCAGCCGCCAAACATGTTCGGCGTGGCCACCTTCCTCCACGCCTCTCTCCGCCCGCTCACCGTTCCTCCGGACACTCCCACCTCTCGCACGTGTTACGTCATCACGTTATCACGTACGTGTCCAGTACTCTTTTTTTACAATTTTTGTTTAGTTTTTCTTGGTTTTCTATTCTATGTCTGGTTTTCTTTATGCTGGGTTTTCTGGGTACATTCCTTCCATTCCTGGTCTCTTGGATTCCTTTAAATGTTTGTTTTTGTTGGCCAACCCGTTCCTTTGCCATTAATCCTTTTTGTTTCAGTCTGTTCCTGCAGGTAGTGGTTTATTTTCCTCTGCTCCTTTCCTTGCAGGTAAGTATTGTGTGTGTTTTATTATTGTACTTTTAGTCATGCGTATCTAGGCAGTTAGGACCCACCGTAATTAGAGTACTTTGGCGCAGTGGTGGGCTGCATACATCTTGGCCATTTATGTATGTCTAAATCTTCAATGTTTATTACATATATAGTACTTAGTTATTTCTCCTCTTGTTTTGCCTTGTAGTTCTTGTTTTATTTTGTATTGTATTCCCAGTTCATATACAGTCCTGTCCTGCCCTGTCCATGTCTTGTTCGTGTTTCCCTCATGTATTGTGTACATATTCTGGGTTCTGCTTTCTGTCCTTCTCTGGTTCTGGGTTCTTCTAGTCTTGTCTTGCGATCTTGTTTGGTACCTGTTTTAGTCTTGCCTTGTTTCTAGTACTGGATACATATCTGCTGCAGAGCCTCCCTATCCAAATCCTGGGAGGTCTGCATATTATCATCTAGCACCCGGGATCCGCAGAAGCTGCATCAGGGCCCTGGTATGTGGCTGCACAAACACTGGTGCTTGTAACGGCACCCCCAGGCATAAAAGGGTTAAACAGCCGTTTAGAAGATCTTCCCCTTCCAGAGACACAGGCAGCTACTGTAGACACTAATCCACCGAACTGGAGAAGCATATGAATGCTGTAAACAGCCGAACCGGAACCATACGAATGCTGTAAACCGCCGAATAGGAAAAACCATACGAATAGGTTTACACTCCTACCAGTCAAACTGGAACAGCATACAATAAATCCCCCCAAGAACGAGACAAGGCTCCGTTTTGAGGGTCAAGCAGGAACACAGGAACACATACAATACACTCAGACACTCCCACACAAAATCCTCCCCTCTGCCTGTGATTCAATTACCTTACACAATGGGTAATGTAATTATAACAAGCAGAGAAATAAATTTTTTTTCACATTATTCATAACTTGAAAAGTATGCATCACATTCACATATAACTTACATTTTCAGAATCAGCATACTCCAAATATTATTATTACTGAATGGCGCTCAGAGCACGCACATACAGTTCAATTGCCATGGAGCCAAAGTCTTTCATTATACGAATGGGCTCCATGGCATAGCTATCTGGGGTATCACTGCTCAAACAGCCATAGTCTAAAGGCAGCAGGCGGGCAATGCACAGTGGCGAGATTGGTCTCGTCACAGTGCTCAATACCAGGAGGCATGTGGTTACCCAGCACCAGGCCCTGATAGTCCATTTCCACGCTGTGACTCCTATCATCATCATCATCAGGCATACAGGGGTCCCGGTGACAGCAAGACAAACTTGTACTCATCACCTGGTTGCCGCCACACACGCTTGAAACCATCTGAACCAAATAAGTTTATCTTGGTCTCATCGGAACACAGGATATGGTTCCAGTAATCTATGTCCTTAGTCTGGTTGTCTTCAGCAAACTGTTTGTGGGCTTTCTTGTGTATCATCTTTAGAAGAGGCTTCATTCTGGGATGACAACCATGCAGACCAAATTGATGCAGTGTGCGGCCATATGGTCTGAGCACTGACAGGCTGAACCCCCACCCCTTCAACCTCTGCAGCAATGCTGGCAGTACTCATACGTCTATTTCCCAAAGACAACCTCTGGATATGATGCTGAGCATGTACACTCAACTTCTTTGGAAGACCATGGCTAGGCCTGTTCTGAGTGGAATCTGTCCTGTGAAACCACTATATGGCCTTGCCCACCGTGCTGCAGCTCAGTTTCATGGTCTTGGCAATCTTCTTATAGCCTAGGCCATCTTTATGTGGAGCAACAATAATTTTTTTAGAGTTCTTTGCCATGAAGTGCCATGTTGAACTTCCAGTGACCAGTATGCGAGAGTGTGAGAGCGATAACACCAAATTTAACACACCTGCTCCCCATTCACACCTGAGACCTTGTAACACTAACGAGTCACATGACACCGGTGAGGGAAAATGGCTTATTTGGCCCAATTTGGACATTTTCACTTAGGGGTGTACTCACTTTTGTTGTCAACGGTTTAGACATTAATGGCTGTGTGTTGTTATTTTTAGGCGACAGCAAATTTACACTGTTATACAGGCTGTACATTTACTGCTTTACATTGTAACAGAGTGTAATTTCTTCAGTGTTGTCACATGAAAAGATATAATAAAACATTTACAAAAATGTGAGGGGTGTACTCACTTTTGTGAGATACTGTATGCTAAATGCTCTCCATAAATTACGGGCCTATAGCAAATATTAAGATTATCCAGCCGAAGAATATTATTTTTTAGCAGTATCTGGAAGGAAGTGATAAACAGCCTGTAACTTGATAACAGTTTAAAAGACAGCCACGCAGGAGGGAGGAGGAGGCTGAAGCACACAGGCAGCATGGAAGCAGAGGAGAGGCTGGAGTGAGCAGCTACATGTTGCTCAGACATGGTGCGCCTAACCAGGAGCAACCCTAAATCGTCCTGGAACTCTAAAGCAGATCTCAGTCACCGCGATTCTCTGAAACTTTAACTAGAGCGTTCTCGGTCCCAGGGCCCTCCATTAGATCACTTTTTGGAGGATGTGGAGAGGCGGTAAATGACACCAAGAACATGGGGGAGCTTCATGTACCCACGGAAAACACTGTGTTAGTAACCCATCTCCTCGAGGGTATTCCACCACACAAAGGAGCCACCATATCCATCTGACAAGAGTCGTGACTGATACTGACTGTGTGAACGCACATAGGAAATTAGCAGTTGCCCCAAAGCAGAAGACCATATGGATGTCTTACCTTCTACATTATGCAGTAGCGATGAAACAACACACAACTGAGGATCACAAACAAAAGATGGATAAAAAAAAAAAAAGATTAAGAGTCCAACTTCATGAGACAAAAAATTTCAAATTTACACGTCAAAGGTCCAGATGTCCAATACCAGACGAAAGGAGACCAAACACAGGAGGAACGTAAATTTAGCCATCAACTGACACAGAGAAAGCCAGGCATTAAAAATGCGAGATGAGAGAAACATCCGGTCGTCAAATGCTCCTCAACACATGACAACCTAAGAGATCCATATCAATAGGAACCCATTGAACCGGAATATGAGCCACCGTAATAGCGGAATGAATTAAGATTATAGAATGATAGGAACAATCCAATATAGAAAGCATTGACCGAAAGATTAAGACTGCAGATACAGGGAATGTAAATAGATCGGGACACCATTCAACACAACGAGTCCAGTAATTCCAAGAAGAGAAGTAATTAGAACTCATTCCAGGGGCATACAAGTCCCATAAGATGTCCTTATTTGCTTGTGAAAGTTCATCGATATGCCAGGAACCCCTGAAAGAGTCCAAGCCATCAGCTGGAGTTGGTCATCCAGGATCAATGGGTGTTCTCTCGCAGATCTGTGGGAAGCATTGGGTAAGATGGCAAGAGAAGTGGATCCTCGCTAGACTGCTCCAGTAGATCTGGGAACCATAGATAGCTCTGCCAAAAAGGAGCTATCAGGGTTATCGTCACCCGCTAAGACCGAATGTGATGAATGACCCTCACATACATCGTGAAGGGGGAAAACCAATCTGCAGTAATAAGTTTCTTCTGGTAGATATTCTGCTCTCAACGAGATATTGCAAGGGAGGCAGAAGTCGAAGATGTCTTTCATGATTTCGACAGCATGTGTAAGCGAGCTCCTCCAACACAATTGATATAATTGACTATGGACATGTGGTCAATCCGGAGCAGGATGCACCTGCTTAATGTCCCTTTCGCCAGGCTGCAAATAGCGAACGACCCTGCCATGAGTTCCAGACAATTTATGTGTGGCGACAGTTTCTGAGCTGACCAGACTCCCCATAAAGGAGTCCTCACTGGCCTTCAACCAACCCCAAAGGCTGGCATCTGACTCCTAGTACAAGGTCCGGTTGAGTGTCAAAGATGGCCCATTCATTCCAGGTTTGCATGTTGGTCAGTCACCACAGCAATTACATCCAAACCTCCTCTATCAGCTGTACTGGCTGATTGTAAGTCAAATTCCTGTAGAGACATTCAGATTTCAGCTGTTGCATTGCCTGGTAGTGCAGCAGACCAGGGAATATCACCTGTATGATGGACGACAGATGTCTTGCACGCATGTGGAGTGGGATTAAATCGCATCACCTTGCAAATCTCCTTGCATATCGAAGAGGTCTTGAAATTTTTGTACTCATTACTTAACTGACTGGGAAGGGACCAGCAGGGAATTGGATCTATTCACTAAAGTGAATCTACCGACGCAGATGTTCCTTCTTTAAACACAAAAACAATAGGTAGTCCAAATAGAATATACAGCAAATCTCTTGAGAGTGAAGATGGGTGACTATGGGCTTCAGATGCTTAGTAAAGCACCAAGCTGAGGCTAAAAGAGAGGCAAGTGAACTGCCAGGGCAATCCTCGCCAAAGAAACCGCAGGAAGTGACGACTGGAGGGATGAACGGGAATAGAGAGGTAAAAAGTCCATGCGCATGTTGCTG